TTTAACGTGTACCACCGGTGGTACACATGACACGAAACGTGTTAAATTGAACGTCAAAAGCTTTCTCAATTTGAAATTTTTTTGATTTTATAATCGATCGAGTATTTCCTAAATTTCAACGTGTTTCAGTTTTATGCAAATTGTAATTCTTGTGCTGTAATTCAAGGTTGATCAGTGGTGTATGTGAAAAGAAAGATTTCGTAACCTTATCTTTTTTTCAACGAAACAAAGCAAACGATCATTGCATTCGGAATGCCCGTATGTAAATCAGTTCAAGTTATTGTTGTTAGCGTGTTACTTAGAAAACAACTAATTGCAATTAACTGTATTGTTTCCATGGAAAATTAATTCCAAGTGATTTTGTTATACCTTCGATAGGCTATTTCTTTGATTTCGAAACACGGGAAGAAAATGAAAATTTCGTGTCGAATATTTGTTGGAATGAAATTGATAAAATTGTATGCAGACGAAACTATGTTATCACGGGAAGATCAGATGTCCATTTTTATCTACGAATTGAATAGCTCGACGATGACGATTTGATTATTTCTGAGAAATTGTGAGTGTAACGAAGATAATCAGAAGTGGCACTTTAGAATCCGAGCGACAAAAAAATATTTCTCCTAAAAATTAACAATTCAAGAATGTATGATAAATATTTTTCACATATCTTTGTTAAAGTTCACGAACGAGCTTAGTGAAGCCATTTCTGTTCGTAATCATTTAACCAAACTAAAAGATGAATTGTTGAGTGATAGTGATCAGAGCATCTATGAAGGAAGTTAACACATCAATGTAATAACTAATAGAAGTGCTTCGCGGTAATGTTAATAGATAACGTGAGTCATAGGACGTATCCTTCTAGTGATAACCTGCACAATATAGCAAAGTTGTAAATTAAAGTGGTACCGACTGAATAGTTGATACCAAGAGTCTTATGTACCAGAGTAGTATAGTTTATTTTTTTCAACTTGATCAAATTTGAAAATTTGGTTAAAAAAATTGCGAACAAATCTCTCTTACTAATATATTATCAATATATATTTTATTTTATTTTATCGTCTCGTATCAATATACGTACATTTTAATTGAATACAGTAAGTAAATAAGTACAGTAGTTTTGCATTAACTGACCGAGATTTCGCTTCTTTAAACAGTCATCGTTATTCTTACCTTTTCATTGTTTGTATGTATATCATAATAACGAATGAGGTATTATTCGAGATTTCCCAAAAATAAAATTTTCTTCGATAACTACGTAATTTTTATCACAAACTGCGCGGCCAATGTTCTTCCTCTGATACGGTCACAGATTTACGTAAATAATTCGCCATCGATTGAGAAGCAACTTGAAAAATTCGAGTAACATTTGAAAACTGTCTTGGGATCGTGTTTAACAACGAACGTAAATTGTTGGTTGGCATATGACAGCCCCTGAGATTTAAAGAGCAAATATTCATTACGCTTATGCGTGCGTTTTCGTCAAATAACAACTATACTGACCTGTGTGTGTGTGTGAGACTTGGCGTGTCTTCGCAAATTTATTTAAACTTGTGAAGTTGCTCGTTAATGGATCATTAGCATCGTAACGTGTGTGGTTGAATAATTTTATTGAGAAAGTAGATTAGTTTATTTTGTTGTTTCCTGTTAGCTAGACTTTTGCGTGTCCACGACTTTCGCGTAACTGGAAACGAGCCAACGAAATGGTAATCGCTTTTGTTATTCAAATTCTTCTTTTGGATGTACTTTTATTTATATCAAGCGTTTTACTTTTTGTTTAGCCGTTTTATTATTATTTCGTCATTCTAATTAAGATTAATGACTGAAAAGTATATTAAAAGTATATTAAGATACATAAAAATGAAACGATATATATATATATATATTCCTAATTTATATATTATTAATTTATTTAATTTATTTATTATTAATATATATATACATTCCTAATTTTATTAGTTTTACATAGCAAACATTTTATTCACCGTACTTGATTGAATTCCTCCTGTACTTTCATTATGCCGAAATGAAAAAAATGTCACACTATAAGGAACGATGATACAATGCAAATATCTCCATACGGATTGCACAGTCTCATTATATCTATATTGTATGTAACTACCGCGATCGATACTTGAGAACCATCCAGTACGAGCCAGGATAACAAATATCTCGTCCGTTGTAGCTTTCTATCCCATGTATGCAATCACTGTGTACGTATACAATTTGTAAAAGGGAATATCAAAATGTGAATTTCCTGGCGAAATGTTAGCGCGAGTCGAGCAAAACAAATCGGAGTAAGTTTGGTTGGGTGAGGGGGATGCGCGCGCATCTGCGTAACCGTCACGCGATAAACGCGTGCACGCCCGCTTAATCGTCCCGTTCACGATGCAGCTGCAGCAGGTGCAACGAAACGACGACGACACATCGTTGAATCGCGTTTAAACACTGTGATCGACTCACCGATCCTTCGGTTTCGCGAAGATCGTATCGTCGGAAAGTACATGCGAATGAACGCGTGTTCACTAGATTGCGATGTTACGATGCGCGCATAATGTTTCCCGTTTGATTTTTCGTCTTTGGTTGGAACGCGGGGCAGGGAAGGGG